TGTGTGTATGTGTGTGTGTGTGTGTATGTGTGTTTATGTGTGTGTGTGTGTGTGTGTGTATGTGTGTGTGGGTATGTGTGTATGTGTGCACGCGCTCGTGCACGTGCATTTATATGTGAAAAAGACAGTGAGACAGAGAGAGAGAGAGATAGAGAGATAGAGAGAAAAAAGGTAGAGGCAAAGAGAGAGATAGCGTGAGAGGAAAGATAGAAAGAGAGAAGGAGATAGAAAGAGATAGAGAGACACATACACAGACACGCATAGAGAAGAGACAGACAGACAGACAGACAGACAGACAGACAGACAGACATACAGAGAGACAGACAGACAGACAGACAGACAGACAGACAGGCAGTTGGTGGCGAATGAATGATTATATTAATGAAAACCCCAAATCCTTGTGGACTCCGGAAGAGAAAATGTAGCCTTTTAGTTTGATAAACCAAAATTACGGTATACTGCACCGGATTTTGAATACAGAGGCAAACTTGTATTTCCCAGGTGTTGATCACATGGAGTACTATTACCCTCTCCTCATCCTGGTGTCCACCTCGCTGATCAGCCAGATCGTCTTTGCCATTCTCATCTTTATCATCTGGGTCCGTGAGAGTGATCAAGACCAAAGAGAAGAATACCTCACCACGCTAAGTCAGGTAAGTAACAATGTCTCCGGGTCCGTCTATCCAAACGGAAGAGAGTCTAAGTTGGGTATGAGAAGAAAGAAAAAGGTGATTTTGGGGGAATATAATATGTTGATTAGCAATAATATGTTTTTTCCCCTTTCATTATAATAAATATGGGCTTTGATGATGATGATTCTCCCAAAAGGGGATGAAACTTAGGATCGCTGCTTGGGGAGGGGGGGGGGGGTAGGTGATGAAGTTGTAAAGCTTTGGCTGGTGATTAAGTCATTGTCATTTGCTTGGTTTATTTAAGTTTTTCAAAACCGCCCAATCAATGATGTGGATCAACTCAGATGCCCATCTTTTGAATAACGTAATTTACTATTTGTTTATTTGATTTAAAAACAAAATCCATAGAATTTGATTTGAAATATGAAATTATATCTGAACAAGCTCAGAATTTCAAATGTATCCAGCTCTTTCTTCTTTTCTCCGCCTTATGCACCTGACGGTATAGGGAGAGAGAGAGAGGGAGAGAGAGAGAGAGAGA